TCACTTTGGTCGGCTAACCAAACTCGCCAAATTAACCCTCCAAGTCGGCGCCAACCACGAAGCTTAGCCGGCTGCACACCTAGCACGTCGGCACGCGCTTCTGGTGATCGATGGGGGTTTTAGCAACTAAATGCACAGCCGGTATAATGCTGCTTACCGAAGCGCCTTCTCCCTACGGGGGGTTGGTTTCCTCCGGGGATCTCCTTAAAGCCCAAAAAAAAAAAAAAACACCTAGCACGTCGGTCAATGAAGTCGGCTTCACCCAAGCGAGGGCACGATATTTCCTCGTCAACACCAAGCCTGCCAGGGCTGACGTTTCATTTTAAGCCTCCCTGATTCCGGGGAAAATTTTCCCCCTCTATTATGGGTGCACATTTTCCAGAAAAACAGTACCCTGATTGCTCAGGGTTGTAAAGTAGTTAACACTGATTGTTCAGGGTCGAGAACTGAACATCAGAGTAGTAACGCGCGCTTTGTTACCGGGGAAAATATCCCCACTCTCCATAAAGTCTGCGCGCTGTGTTTCCTGCTGGCTGTACACTCGACTGATTTGTGCAGGGCGGGTGTGATTGACCTGTTCGAGTCACAGATTTCCGCTGTCAGAGCCTATTTCGACCAATCCCAGCAAAGTATATCTGACATTGCACATTCACGCGATCTCGATGGTAGGTGTATCAGAACGAAGTTTCGAAGAAACTTCGTCTCGATAAAGCGGGAAGGGGGGGGATTACGCTCATGCGGGGGGATCACTGCGATCAATCCAAGGCGGGGTCATCGGAAGGAAACTTCCGAGAAACTTTCTCTCGATAGGTCAGGGTCCACACAGTCGATACTCTGTTAAGTCAGGGTCCACTAACAGCCTAGTCTGTTACACTGTACTCAAAATCAGGGATAGCTAAACTATTACTCTGATTGGATCAGGGCTGGAAATTCAATAACTCTGAAATTTCAGTCTCCACGAAGTGGAAAGCCTGAAATCACCCTGAAATCAGGGTAATTACCCTGATAAAATCAGCCCTGAAGCCTGCCCCACTTAGCTTGTGGCGTCAAAACAAACAGCTTCTTGACCGCCTGAAGGCTCATATTTTCCTTTCTCATACGGGATGCAACCTTTGCCGCATCCACCAAGGAGCTGTGACGGAAGGCCGCAATAGCTCTTGATGAGATTTTGTTCTCCATAATAATATCACAATTTCTATGCGTAAGTTGTGTTCCAAAACGATAATGCGAGAACCGTGAGGAAACCAAGTGAACCGCAGAGGGTGAACAGATTTGGTGGGTGCTGCTTTCGAGCCGTGGATTCGATATTTCCAACCAATCCGCAGCAAGGCTGTTTCCAGAGAGAGCCGCACGTTTCGAATCATGCGGCTCGAAACGGGGGTGCCTTGCAACTGAAATGGTGTGCTGTACAACTGTACCTGGTTGACTCAGCCTTCAATCGGGTACAGAACTGTATATGGTTGACTTTGCCGCAATTGCCACTGTATTGTTGGACGAAAAACTGACTCCGCCCAACAAAATTGCTGCCCGGGGCAAAAAAAAAACCCTATACTGTTGTACTTCGAAAATATCTTAGCGGACAAGCGAGTCCGCCCGGGGGAGCTCGCTGCCCGCGGGCAAAAAAAATAAAACCCATTCGGGCACGCATCCGGTCAGGGAGGCATCAACCCTAAACACAGGGAGGCATGGATTTAGGGTTGATGCCTCCCTCGGATGGCATGCCATCCGATGGGGTTCTAGTTTTTTTCTGCCCGGGGCAGCATGTCGTCAAGTCGTCAACAGGTCGTCAGGCCTGACGACCCGTTTCCGCTGGGATATTCCTAACAGTACTATCCTCTGTATGCTCCACCTCAGACCACCATAGATTCTACTGTACATGGACTCCCACAAAGTGCCCCTCCCAAGAATCTCGTCCCGACACCGAACTCCAAATGTGGTGTAAGTCCATGGTTTTCTCCCGAACGCCAATGCTACTTTCAGATAAAGCCGTCGGATAGTGTTATTAGTGATCTACTCTAGACTCGTTAACTCGTAAGAAGATGGATCGTGGGCGCATTTCTCGTCGCAGCGTGCGCATTCACTCAGGGGCCACATTTCCTCTCTGTGCCACGATTGCTTTTAGGGCTACAATTCTAATCGTTGTCGCACCTGTAGTTGGTGGCGCCGACTCGGACGGGCTTGTTGACTGCCTCAACTTAACGAATCCAAGTAAATTAATAATGTAGCCTCGAGAGTTTTTTTTTCTTTCCTCGAGAGCAGATTTACTCCTCCCGTCCCTTCTTTCCAGCCCTATCATGTTGCCGTCAGCCGGATGATTTGTCAAAACCGGGAAAAGCTTTGAAGTGGTTACCCCTTCATAATTTCGAATTTTCTTCCCTACCCTCCTTTGCCCGCCACAGGTGGCGCGTCCAACCTCCTCTCAAACCCGAGCATCGATACAAGCTGTCTCGATATAGGATGGCGTCGCAAGAAGCTGAACGCGTCGTGCTCACCGTGGCCGTACTCATTTCCGTGGCACACGTTAGAACCTGGGGAAGCATTCTCAGGCGACCAAATCTTAGCCACCGCACTTGGTGGCGGAAACAACGGAGCATTTCTTGCACGAGCGGCGGCGGGAACGGCCGCAGAAGGGACGGCATCGCCTGCTGACGTGTCAATAGCGAACGGGGTCACGGGAGTCACGGACACCCTACTGGCAGCTGATGGGCGACGGCACTTCTAGTAGTAGCAATAGCAGTAGTGCGTTTGGCGGCCCAGGCGTATCGCAAGCGCTGTGCGAACTCAAACCCGCGACGCCGACCATCAATGACTCGCAGCAGGCGCAGCAGGAGCGCTCCCCGCGCCAGCTGTCGCTCTCGTTCTTTGCGCGCGCCAGCCTGTGCGCGGAGGCGGAAGGGGAGGCGGAACGGCTGTTGAAGGTGCTGCTGCTGGCAGTTCCGCTGAACGCTTCTGCCGCAGCAGCAGGGGGAGGGGGAGCAGCTGGAGGAGAGGGGGGGGAGCAGGTGTGGGGGGAGTGGCGGGTGGGTGTGCCGTGTGGGGGAAGCAGCGCGAGTTTGTCCGGCGCCTTGCCTTGGTTCCAAGTGGGACCCCTCCTCTTCCCCCTCCCTGACCTCCCGAATTCCCCCTCCTCTTCTTCCTCCGCCTCTGCCTCTTCCCCTTCCTCGTTGGTAGTTCCTCCCGGGAGAGTGGCGCTGCACTTGGTGATTCGAGGCGTGCAAGCCAGTAACAGCAGCAGCGGCACCAGCAGCAGCGCTGCCACCATCGCCACGACCAGCGGTACTACTCCCAGCAGCAGCACCACCGTCACCGCCACTAGCAGCGTCGCTGCCAGCAGCAGCAGTGACAGCAGGCGCACTAGCAGCGCCACCACCACCGCCAGCAGCAGCAGCAGCAGCAGCAGCAGCAGCAGCAGCAGCAGCAGCAGCAGCAGCAGCAGCAGCAGCAGCAGCAGCAGAAGCGGTGCTGACAGCACAGGGAGCAGCGGCTTTACCATCACCTCCCTCGGCCACCAAATCCGGCCAGCGTCACACCCCGCCCTTTCCCGCGCTGCATCCGCCCTTGCCAGCACTAAATCCGCCCTGGGAAGGCTTCTCCGGTTCCCCAGACTTAACCTCCCTGGACTGAGGTCGTTTGGGCTACGGCAGTTCTGGAGCTTTGGGTTGAAGAGAGCAGCAGGAGCAAGGGCAGCAGCAACGCCCGCAGTGTCAACAGCTGGTGGGACATCAGCAGGCGATGCCGTACCTGCATCCCAAACTGCTGCAGTGGCAGCAGAGGGTGTGGGAGAGACAGCAGGAGCATCAGCACTCGCTGTTTCTGCGAGTACGGGAGGAGGGGCAGGAGGAGCAGGAGGGGTGAATGTGGTGAACTCAAGGAGAGAGGGAGTGGCGTCGGAGGCAGGGAGCATTGCCGTTGACCTCGCGTCTGTCATGCCTGCTCGTTGTGAGTCAATGAGGGAGCAGACAAAATGGTTTGCTGAACTTGACAGAACCGCAGGTTTGTGAAGTGACGAGTCGCATCTCACCTTGCACGCCCAACTCCCCTTCCCCGTTCCCCCCCTCCCCACCACTACCCCCATTGCGAGTCGAGTTTTACTCGACTCGTTTTCGCGAGTTCTTTTTTCAACTCTGGGTCGACTCGTAACTCGACTGTATGGTCGAGTTTTTTAAAACTCGTCACGAGTCGAGCAAAACCCGACTCGTAGCATCCTGCCCACCACCTGTTTCAGGCATGATGGTGCCTCTGGTTTTCCCGCACGGCGAAATGCCAGATCCACGGGGATATGGTGGCGAAATGCCCGTTCCGCACGGATTTGGCGGCGAAATGCCAGATCCCCGCGGATCGGGAGACGAAACGTCTAATCCGCGCGGATATGGCGTCAAAATCCCATCTCCGCGCGGATCTGATGGCGAAATCCCATCTCCGCGCGGCTCTGGCGGCGAAATCCCATTACCGCGCGAATCTGGTAGCGAAATCCCCGTTCCACGTAGATATGGCGGCGAACTGTCTAATCCGCGCGGACCCTGCGTTGGAATGACGCAACGAATTCGATCTACTCGTCGAGTAATAAAAACTCAAGAACGTCGAGTTATTCTCGATTTTTTTTTTTTTTAACCGCGAGCTTTACTCGACTCAACTCGGCCGATTTTTTTTCAGAAAGGCACAAACACGTAAGCCAGCAAATACGAGTTGAAGAGTAAAATGACCCTCCTCCTTCAAGCCCTTCTTCCCCCAACCCCTCTCCAGCTCCCACCCGCTCCTTTGGTCTGACTGAGACAAATGTTTGTGGGTTCGACATGAGCGCCGAAACGAAACGCCAATCACTCGGGTGCGGTTCGGTTCAGACCGAATTGAGCCAGGGGAGGATTTCTTCCCGCCAGGTGGAAACAGACCTAACCGATTGGTGCCAAACTGGTTAGGTGGTTCAACGAGTTCAACGTTTAAAATTACCGAAGCTCGTTGAATCATGTCGAACCGCCGCGGGATGAGAGTTATCCCCAGTAATGTCCGGTGAGTTGGAGCTCATTTCAACCTCCAGCTTCATTCCTACACTATTTCCTAGTACTACCCAAAATGGCAACCTTTCTACAAGTAGTCTTTCCAGCTACATATCTACAGCATGAAATGCTCTTACAGTATTGTAACGGATGAATATAAACATTGGTGTCGCTCGGCCATCCATTTATCATTTCTCAACCAAGTAGACACATCTCATCTCATGTCATACCCCTCTCTCTTCCCAAACCCCACCCCGCTCCCCCCTTGCATACCTTCACAGAGTCAAGAACAAATGTTGTTTGGAGTTGTGACTTTATGAAAGTTTAACTATCAAACCAAACCGAGGTCGGTTTGTTTATTCAAAAGCGAACCTTGAAGCGGCTGATTGTAGATACAATTCAAAAAAAGAAAAAGGAACAAGGAACCAAACGTACCGCTACTTTGCCCGTGCCTATTCGACGTTCCTAAAAATCGCTCCCCATTCTGTTTCCCCTCCCCTTCTCCCCTCACTCCCCATCCCACTGCCCTGCAGTTGACCCCTCCCCTCTCAAGTCCTTCACCCACTGGCCACTCTCCAGCTCCCACCCGCTCCTCACAGCCGGCTCAACCCGTCGCAACCCCTCGTCCCTCTCCCTCACCACGCTCTCCGACCTTAACGCTGCCGCCCTCGCGCTGCACCCCACCCCCTTCGCCCTGCTCGCCCCCGCCACGCCCTCCTCCCCCTGCCGCCCCTTCTCCTTCTCCACCTCCTTCACCTTCCGCATCTCCTCCCCCAACGCCGCCGGGCTGGGCGGCGAGGGCTTGGCGTTTGTGATGCTGCCGACGCCTACGCTCGGCCTGCCGGGGCCTTCCCTGGGGTATGGCCGCCTGCTGCTGCCCCCGGGGAGCACAACTGGCACTGATGACTCACAGGTATGCTCAGCTCATGATTCTCATTTGAACCAGCAGTGCTGCATCACTGCAGGTATCACATACCTGCATCAGCCCTGAAAAAGCAGTGATTCCAGCGTCAGCAGTGCAGAGTGTCATCTCAGGTACATGTCATCTCAGGTACGTGTCATCTCAGGTACGTGTCATCTCAGGTATGGGTCATCTCAGGTATGTGTCATCTCAGGTATGTGTCATCTCAGGTACGTGTCATCTCAGGCCGAGTTCCTTTGCGTTCCACATCCCCACACCCAATGGAGCGTGGCAGGTCTTGGCAGCAATGGGATGGCGTTTGTTGTGGTGATGCTTTTCGTCTTTCCGCTTCGTCTTCCCTGACTACTCTCTGGTGGTCTTACTCTTCCTGTCTTACTCTTCCTGTCTTGCTCTCCTGCTCTCATTCTCTCCTTCTCTGCTGCTCTTCTGCCCACTCCCCTGCTCCCCTTCCTGCTCCCCCTCCTGCTCCCCCTCCTGTTCCCCCCCCTACACAGCCACAACAGCACAGGAGCCTGGCGGTTGAATTCGACACATCATCCTCCCCCGAGTTCTGGGACCGCCCCGACCACCACGTGGGGGTGAACCTGCACGGCAGCATGCTCTCTCTTGCCTCTGCCCCCGTGCACCCCCTTGGCATTCCCTCCCTCAACGCCGGTCAGACCCTCCTCGCCACCATCCAGTACAACGCCTCCTCCTCCCACCTCACCGTCTGGCTCTTCCCCGCCCCCTCCTCCTCCCGTTCCCCCTCCCCCTCTCGCTCCTCCCCTCGTTTTCCGGGTTTCCCTGGCTTCCCTGGGTCATCTCGCCCCTCCTCCTCCTCCCCCTCCGCCTCCGCCTCCCCACCTCTCCCGCGCTCGGCCGTGCTGAGCACATTCCTGGACACCTGCGAGTGGCTGGGGGGAAACGACCTGGAGGCAGCAGCGCCCCCCCCGCCGCTGTTTGTGGGATTCACAGCGGCCACGGGCAAGGGGGCGGAGCAGGCTCAGGCGCACGAGGTGCTGGGGTGGACCTTTCAAGTCGGGGAGGGTGAGTTCCAAGTCGGGGAGGGTGAGTTCCAAGTCGGGGAGGGTGAGTTCCAAGTCGGGGAGGGTGAGTTCCAAGTCGGGGAGGGTGAGTTCTAAGTCGGGGAGGGTGAGTTCCAAGTCGGCGAGGGTGAGTTCCAAGTTGGGGAGGGTGAGTTCCAAGTCGGCGAGGGTGAGTTCCAAGTCGGCGAGGGTGAGTTGTTTGAGTGACATCAACAGGTGCTGGGGTGGAGGTTTGAAGTGGGGGAGGGTGAGTGCATGAAGTGTCTTTCACTCTTTTTTTTTTTTTTTTTTTTTTTTTTTTTTTTTTTTTTTGTGGGTTGATTTGGTTCTATGTTGAGAAAACTCTTTATGCTGTACCCACCGCAGATTTTCTCGTTCATCCTCGCGGTCAGCTCGTCCCCACAGTCAAATCGTCTATGTGGGTTTCCTTCGCCATCACATGTCCTCCAGATTTGCTATGAAGAGGAGTGGAGGAGCCGGGAACCTACCTAGCCCCACGGTCCACCCTACTCCCCAGCAGCGGAGGATCCACTTACGTTTCATCCAACCCTCCTTCCCCCCGTCCCCTCTCCTCCCCTTCTCTCCCCCCCCTTCGTTCACCCCAGCAGCGGAGGATCCGCTTCCGTTTTGGGCGGCAGACTCGTTCTCCTTCCCCTACATCACGCCAGCCACTCCCCTGCTGACACGTGGCAGCACACGGAAGCGTTTCTTCACTGCCGATCTCTCCGTCGATGCTGATGTGGCATCCATCGGCCAATCAAACAATCCTGCCCCTGGAGCCATCTTCTTCCCCCGCCGTCTCCCCCTCCTCTACTCCTCCTCCTCCCCTCCCTTCCCCCCTCCTCCTTTTCCTCGTCCTCGCTCCAGCTCCCCCCGTTCCTCTCCTTCCTCCTCGCCCTCCCAACCCACAGCCTCCGAGCCTCCTGTCTGCAAGGCTCGCTCCTTCACCTTCACATACGGCTTTTCCATGAATACATCCGCTTCCCAAGGGCTCGCGTTTGTTATAAGCACACATGCGACCGTAGGTCAAGGCGGGGCTTATATGGGGTACGGCCGGGACCCATCCACGCGACTCGCTAATGGCAGCTGGCTGGACGGCGCTCGGAGTGTAGCTGTGGAGTGGGACACTGTAGTAAACCCCGAAACAGGCGATATAAATGATATTCACATTGGCGTTAACACCGATTTCAACATGACATCGATTTTTGCAAAGACGGTGTTTTATCCGATGAAGCCGGTCGAGGTGTGGCAGATGAGGGTTGACTATAACGGGAGCAGCAAGGAAATGGCGATTAGGTGGTACAAGCCACCGGTGTTGAAAGGCAGTGCGAGGCTCAGCTTTGACCTGTGTGCTGCACTGACGGGAGTGACTGAGACCAGTGGAGACAGCAGCAGCAGCAGCAGTGGCGGCGGCGGTGGTGGCAGCAGCAGTGGCAACAGTGGTAGCAGCAGCAGTGTAGTGGACCTATCGTTGCCATCCTTTGGGCAGCTGTTCGTTGGGTTCACCAGCGCTGCTCTCCCTCCCCCCCCTGGCCGCCTGCCTTCCCCTGTCGCCCTCTCCTCCTGGACCTTCCGATTCACAGGTAGGGAGAAGAAGGGGGGGGGGGGGGGGGAGGGGAGGAGAAGGGGGAAGTGTGGGAGGGGGACGGCATAGCAAGCCACAAGCCCTGCCCCCGTTGCCCTCTCCTCCTGAACCTTCCGATTTACAGGTGGGGGGAGAAGGAGGAATGAGAGAGACAGAGCGAGGGTGAGGGTAAAAGTGAGGGACGGGGGGAAAGGGTGAGGTGAGGAGTGAGAGAGAGGGGGAGGGTGTAGCAGGAGGGGAAAGAGGGGAGGGGGAGCAGAAAGGGGAGAGGGGAGAGTAAAATGGAACAATATATGTACTATTATATATGTTAGATTTATATTAAATTTATTATATATATTATATATATATTTACCCCCTTCAACAGATTCAACCGTCTGCAAGGGCTCCCCTGTGCCGTCTTACATGAAAGGCACCTCTTCAAGACAGCTGCTCCTTGGCCCTCGTATTGCTTTGTCCCCCCTCATTTCCCCTCACACTCGCCCTCATCCCTCGCTTCCCCACACTCAACCTCACCCCCCGTGTTTCCCCGCACACCGTCCTCGTCCCCCTTGACAGACACTGACTACTGCACCCACTCTCCCGTTCTCCCCTGCGGCATGGGCACATGCTCTAAGGCGCGGTCCCCATGGGATCCCTCTGTCCTGCTGCCCTCCTGCAAATGCGCCTTGAAGCTCCCCTCCTTCGAACCCACCCACCTCGCCGGCCTGCCCTCCTGCTTCCCTGGTGAGCCATGGAGTGCAATAGGCGAGGTATGGAGTGGGTAGGCAAGTGGTGGAGTGCGGCAGGCAAGTGGTGGAGTGCGGTAGGCAAGTGGTGGAGTGCGGCAGGCAAGTGGTGGAGTGCGGCAGGCAAGTGGTGGAGTGCGGTAGGTGCCCTGCTTGTTTGGGCGTGTGCACGAAGTCCCCTTCCCTGTGGGACCCCTCTATCCTGCCTACTCCGCTCCTACATCCCCCACTGCTGAGGTGGATCAAACCCCCCACTGCTGAGTAGGATGAAATTATGAGACTTACTTTTGCTCTTCCCTTTCCAATTTATCTCCCCAACCCCCTCCCTCTCCTTCGTACTCTTCCACCTCGGCCTCCCTTATGCTTTTCCCTCCCCCTCCTCCTCCGTCCGCTCTTTTCTACTCTCCCTTCTCTCCACTCCGCCTTCCCCCCTTCCCCTCACCAGAGGCCTACACGTGTCGTCAGCTCTCCTCCAACTCCTGCGCCCCAGGAGTGTGTATCGATGGCTTAGACGGCAGCTACTCCTGCCTCTGCCCTTCGCCCTTCTTCCCATGGTGCATCAACAGTGCTCTGGTGTGCATCTCACTCCTGCTCTCTTTCCACTCTGCTCCCCCCACTCTCTCTCCCCTTCTCTCCCCTCTCCCCTCACCAGAGGCCTACACGTGTCGCCAGCTCTCCAGCAACCCCTGCGCCCCAGGAGTGTGTATCGATGGCTTAGACGGCAGCTACTCCTGCCTCTGCCCTTCGCCCTACTACTTCTTCACATTTTCTCCCAAGGGCACTGCCAGTTGCTCTCTGGGTAAGTCACACACCTTGTTGCTCCAGTTGCTCTCTGGGTAAGTCACACACCTTGTTGCTCCAGTTGCTCTCTGGGTAAGTCACACACCTTGTTGCTCCAGTTGCTCTCTGGGTAAGTCACACACCTTGTTGCTCCAGTTGCTCTCTGGGTAAGTCACACACCTTGTTGCTCCAGTTTCTCTCTGGGTAAGTCACACACCTTGTTGCTCCAGTTGCTCTCTGGGTAAGTCACACACCTTGTTGCTCCAGTTGCTCTCTGGGTAAGTCACACACCTTGTTGCTCCAGTTGCTCTCTGGGTAAGTCACACACCTTGTTGCTCCAGTTGCTCTCTGGGTAAGTCACACACCTTGTTGCTCCAGTTGCTCTCTGGGTAAGTCACACACCTTGTTGCTCCAGTTGCTCTCTGGGTAAGTCACACACCTTGTTGCTCCAGTTGCTCTCTGGGTAAGTCACACACCTTGTTGCTCCAGTTGCTCTTTGGGTAAGTCATGTCAGATTTATATGACATAGCTACTGTAGGCTATAGTGGGGTAGCACATATGGGGTACAGTTTTCTAGGGTTTACATTTGTACCCAACTTTCCCTTAGTCCACCCATTCTCGTTTCTATTTTATCATGGTATCGAGCAGGTTCCCTCGTGGGAACTGTTACTAGGGCCCACCAATTCGACATTTTTTTTCTGCCCGGAGCGCGCTCAGTCCTAGCCCGAGTCGCGCTCCCCCCTCTCTTTTTTTTCTCGCCCCGTCGCGCCGCCCTAGCGGCCCTGTCGCCTGCCTTGCGGCCCTCGCGCCGCCCTTCCTGGCCCCGACCCGCCGCCCGGCGGCCTCGTCGCCTACCCCGCGGCCATCGCGCCGCCCTTACCCGGCCCCGATCCGCCGCCCTGCGGCCTCGTCGCCTACCCAGCGGCCCTCGCGCCGCCCTGCAGCCCTGACGCCACCCTTTCCGGCCCCGGCGCCTACCTGCGGCCCCGACGCCTACCTGTGCGGCCCCGGCGCCTACCTGCTGGCCCCGCCACCTGCCCGCGGCCCCGCCACCTACCTGTGCGGCCCCGCCACCTACCTGCGGCCCCGCCACCTACCTGTGGCCCCGCCACCTACCAGCGGCCCCGCCACCTACCCGCGGCCCCGCCATCTACCTGTGCGGCCCCGCCACCTACCTGCCTTCTGCAAAAACAGTTTCCCCCACCTGCGCTGTGGCCATCCCCACCCCCAGCAGAGCCACTGCTGTGTAGTCGCACCGTTGTGCCCATGCCAAGAAGATGATTCCCAGGAGATTCCCCAGGTGGAGTGACTCTGAAGAGAGGTGGACGGTGTGGGAGAGGAAGAGAGTAATCGATCGACTTGTGTGGCCAAAGGAAAGGGGTTCTCGACCCCACCCCACTTCACCCGTGCTGTAACTCCCCCCACCGCCAGCACCGCCACCGCTGTGTGCCCACACCACAGCGCTGCGCCCATGCCAGGGCGATGATACCCAGGAGATTGCCCAGGTGCAGTGACTCTGGCAAGGGCAGGGTACGTTAGGGTGAAGGGGAAGAGCGTTGGAACATCAGCAACCCCTCCCACCCAAATGGATCTCCTTCCCTCCTCCCCCACACCACCCGCGCTGTAGCCCTTCCCAGCAGCGCCACTGCTGTGTGCCCGCACCGCTGCGCCCATGCCAAGGCGATGATGCCCAGGAGATTGCCCAGATGCAGTGACTCTGTGGAGGGGAGGGAAGGGATGAGAGAGAGGAGGTGGATGGACCATGAAACGTCTGTCTTCGTTCCCAAAGGAAAGGGGTTTTCAGCCCCACCCCACTTCACCTGCGCTGCTCCCCCCAGCAGCGCCACTGCTGTGTGCCAGCACCGCTGCGCCCATGCCAGGGCGATGATACCGAGGAGGTTCCCGAGGTGCAGCGACTCTAAAGAGGGGTGGAAAGGGAGAGAAAACATTGGAAGCTCATTCTGGAAGCTTAGGCGTAATCCGTGCATGAAACTAACCCAGGTTAAAGCATGACGAGAGCTCACCAGCAGTGGGGTCAAAGCCGACGTAGATCTTCAGAGGGTGCTCTGCCGCTGCTCATGGGTGCACGGGGGCGAAGAGGGGTGACGAGGGGTGAAGTGGGGTGACAATGGCCAAGATGAAAATGCAGCAGTGTAATCAAACACGCTCAGAATGCTATTCTTTTCCCCCCAGGGTGGAGGGGAAGGACTGGTAAACAGCAAGCACGGGACGGGTGGGTGGGTGTTGCAAACACGAGTTTCCAAAGAGTGTTGCAAAGTGAGAGAGGAGAGTGACTGGAAAAAAATGGGGGTAGCACAGGGCTCACCTTCCCGGAATGCCTCGCTCGTGACTGCATCGGCCAGGCCCCTCTCCCTCAACACGTCCAGCAGGTTGGGCCTTGAAGGGGGGAGAGGTGGGGGGGGGTACGTATGGGTAACGATGGGTGATGATGGGTGATGGCAGCGATGGCTGGCAACGTTCGTGACGGCATCGGCAAGGCCTCTCTCCCTCAACACGTCCAGCAGGTTGGGCCTTGAAGGGTTCGAGGTGATGGTGGGTGATGACGGGTAGTGATGGGTGAAAGGGGGGAGAAAATGAGGCAATATAGGAGAGGGCACAACGCACGCTTGTGACGGCATCCGCCAGGCACCTCTTCCTCAGCACGTCCAGCAGGTTGGGCCTTTGAAAGGGGGGAATGGGGGGGTATGTATGTATGGGTGATGGTGGGTGATCATGGGCCACGCTCGTGACAGCATCCACCAGACCCCTCCCTCTCAGCACGGCATCAGGTTGGGCCTTGGATGCGTGGGGTGTAATGATGGGTAGTGATGGATGACGATGGGTGAAGGGGGGGAGGGAATGAGGCAGTGAGGGAGCAAGCATAAGGTTCCCTCGTGACTGTCCCCTTTCCCTCAGCACGCCCAACAGGTCGGGCCTTCAAGGTGGAGGAACGGGGAGAGGTGATGCTGGGTGATGGTGGGTGATGGTGGGTGATGGTGGGTGATGGTGGGTGGAGATGGTTGAAAGGGGAGAGGGAATGAGGCAATGAGGGGGGGGGCACAAGGTACGCTCGTGACTGCATCCACCAGCCCCCGCTCCCCCCTCAGCACGCCCAACAGGTTGGGCCTTGAGTGGTGGGTAGCGGTAATGATGGGTGATGATGGGTGGTGATCGGTAATAATGTGTGATGATTAGGGAAGAGGGAATGGGGGAGGAGCTACACGGCCCCCGTTCGTGACTGCATCCGCCAGCCCCCGCTCCCCCACCTGCTCCGCCCATCCCCCACCTGCTCCGCCCATCCCCCACCTGCTCCGTCCATCCCCCACCTGCTCCGCCCATCCCTCACCTGCTCGCGCTTTCCTTCACTCCCGCCGATGCTCGCTCCGCGACTGCCGCAGCTGCAGCGGATCCCACGCCGCGATCTGCGCCAGCAGCAGCGGCAGCCGCGTAGCGACGATAAGACAAGGACGCGCCACGGGACGCCTTGGATTTGGAGGATAAGATTCCGACGGATCTCGATGCGCACGGCGCGCTTGAGAAAACTCTAGTGGAGCGATCGGGCAGTGCTGATGTGGCGCTTTGCGGGGTGACAGCTGGGGCGGCGCTGCTGATTGGATACTGTGCGGCGGGAATATTGAGCGACGAGGCGCAACGGCAATCGAGGCGCAACGCGCGATGCGGGATCCGCGGCAATGCGCGCGATGCGGAGAGTCGCAGCATGGCGGACGGCGCAGCCATGATCTGCGCGGGGGGGTGCGGGAACTGAGCGGAGGGGTTCAGGGGAAGAAAGTTGTGGTGGAGACGAAAACGGTCTACGCGGCGATATTAGGAGTCGCGGCCGCAGAAATAAGTTGACGCGCCGCGAATGCTACGCGACCGTGAAGCAGCAGCCACTCATTAGTGGTGGATTATCTGGAAAAGTGATTTGAGTGCCACGTCATCCAGAGAAGAAGTGTGCCCCGTGGGCACTGCTTCAGCCACCAAGCACTGGTCCGCGCAAAAGAGAGCTCTGCTACATGTCACATTTGGTTGAAATCGCAGTAAATGACTGTACGTTGCAACTTGAATTACTTTCTTATTACAGTATCATGGTTTCGCTTGTGAAAATTTGCTCTGTCACAAGACTGGTTCCCAGGGACTGCAGGCGTCACCGACATCTACAGAGCTACGATCCCTAGTCGAAAGCCGCGTTCCTCTGCCACGCGTCTCCCAAGTATTTTTCGAACACCGCCTGGTCCTGCACATCTGCTGGGGCTCGGTTCTGTTGACATCCGTTCCTCAGTTCAAATGTGTGTCGAATGACTAGATCTAGGAACGAGCCCTCAAGATTCCTTTTCGAATAGATTCCTTCCCTGCAGCAGCAACAGATGCGCATACCGCCACCAAACATTGCTCCAGCTTCTCCGCGAAGCTGACAACAGGACCAATTCAGTCAGCACTCTTTGAGTTCAGTCTCACCAGCTAGCGATTTAGTAGGTCGCTGAAACGGCGTCGCTTGTTTGAGTTCTGCCTGATATTATAATTGCGTGGGACTGTCAGGATCGGAACCAAGCGCCGACTAATAGTATCGGCGCTTTTTTATCGAGGGGGATTTCGTACTTTCCCATAACAGTAGTGAACTTCTTTAGGGGTTCTAAAATTGACGCATGTTTCTCGGTCGGAACTCAATAGGATCCGATTTTTAGTCGATTCGTAGTATCAAGAAGTGAAGGTGCGTGCGGGTGTAAGGAGACTTTTCTAGAGACGCCTCAAGAGATCTTTTGTTGGTTTCGATTGGAGCCGTTGCGTAGTACTAAGAAGTGAAGTTGCTAGAGGAGTGGAAGAAGACTGCGCTTACCATTTCCGCCTTTTGGCGCTCCGCTTCTGATTTAGAACGCGCCATAAGCCGCGCGGAAACGCTCTGAGCCGTGCGGAAGCGGCCTAAGCCGTGCGAAGCGCCTTACGCTGTGCTTCGGCGGCTTAGAAACGTGGAGGATCCAGACCGGGATGACGTGGATTGCGGAATGGTTGGGTAGCCTCCCGACGCCGCTGCTGCTGCTGCTGTCCTGCGTGAGTGACTCACCAGCTTCTCAGTGTTTGAGGTATTTCGAATCAGAAACACACTGATTTTCGAGGCGCCTTAACATTTGCCTTGTTGAGGCGCGTAGTAATGGTCCTTATTTCAGGTGCCTCAAAAATCGTTTCCACTAGCATTTAGGCGATTCTGAGGTGACCTGCGTCGAGGAGTTTCCGGGATCGTCTTCAAAAAAAAAAAAAAAAAAAACTGAGTGTATAAGTGGTGTCGTTAAATTCAATGCTAAGAAACCCTTGGGAATGTCGAAGGGAAATCGGGAATGCGAGGGTCACGATGAGTGTAGGAGGGACATTGGGGAGTGTTGGACTCGTTAGGGAAGCTTGCGATATTATATTTGGTTTCCTTGTCACCCTCGTTTCCGTATTACCACATGTCCCCGTCGCTCTCAATTGCAGCCTAGTCCCCGTCGTCTCACTTCTCCCCTTTTCACCTCCGTATCTATGCTATACTGACTGACTTCCATGTCTTTACAAATACAGGCGCTCGTCGGTCTCGTCTGGATCCTAGCCCTCCTCATCTCAAGGCTCTTTCTTCTCAACGCGGGGATCAGGTGGGCTTCCTGATGGACCCTGCAGATTGCTGCTAGAGCCACGTGGCACTTTAACCGCTTGAACCATCCATGCGGCACGTTGGTGTGTGCCTTCGTCCCTTAAAAGCTGATGTGAGGCTGTTTCTGAGAAAGTTCCCTGCGAAGAACTGATCATGGACGACCCTGCCTCCTTAGACAAGGTGCCGTGCCGTTGCTCTCGCGAGCCTCTGTAGCATGGAGGAGCACAAAGCATTTCCTTTCCCTTCTCCTCAACAGCATTTCCCTGTTGTCCTACCAACAGTGGCTAGGATAGGGAGGCACTGTTCATGGAGGACCCTACCTCCGTGGACAAGGTGCCTCTGCCTTTCCCCCCACTCCGTGCTCTCGGTTTTTTATGGACTCACCTGAAGTGTCTCCTTTCTTCTCCTCTCCACGTCCCCTCCTATTCTCAGCCACACGGAGCACGACTCACTATTCATGGAGGACCCTACCTCGGTTGACAAGGTGCCTCTGCCCTCGCTGTTTGCCCCGGCAGAGAAGTACCTCACTGTAGTGTGCCCTGCTTATAACGAGGACAGAAGAATTGCGGCCACTCTGGACGAAATTATCAGGTGGGGAGAGGCATTGGCTTATTAGGGTATTGAAAAGGGTGGCATTACGACAGTGAACCTTGTTATAACGAGGACAGTAGAATTGCGATTATTCTGGAGGAAATTATGAGGTGGAAGAATGATTATTAGGGTATTGATGAGGGTGGGAGGACGGTAGTGGGCTTTGCTCATAACAAGAACATCATTAAAACGAGAACAGTGTGATATTATAACGAGCACACAAAACGAATAAAGGGCACAACGACTAGCTGTGCAGCAATATCACAATGCTTTGCATAATCTCCCCCCTCCCCGCCCCACTCCTCTCCCCTCTTCCTCCACATCCCTGCCCTTCAATTCCCTCCATTCCCCTCCCCTGCCCTCCCCTGCCCTCTCCTCCCCTCCCCTCCCATCCATTCCCCTCCCCTCCCCTCCCCTCCCCTCCCCTCCCCTTCCCTCCCCCACGCAGTTATGTGCAGGAGCGATCAGCCAAGGACGCAGCTTTTACCTACGAGGTATTGCACCGCACCACACCGCACCACGCTATACCACACCACACCGCACCAAACCTCACGGCACTGCACCATTCTGTGCCCATGGGCATCGGCACCTGCCAGCACATGCGCACCCAGCAAGTGCTCCAAGTGTGCTGGCAGGTGGCAGACTCGTTGCTATCTTGACCCTCCTCTTCCCTTCCCTCCTATCAGGTCCTAGTGGTGGACGATGGCAGCACAGACAGCACAGTAGCTGTGGTGGTTCCCTTTGACGCCCACCCATGATTGCTGTTCCCCCTCTCCACCACTCCTCTCCACTCCTCTCCACTCCACTCCTCCTCCTCCCTCCTATCAGGTCCTAGTGGTGGACGATGGCAGCACGGACAGCACAGTGGCTGTGGTGTTTGACTATGTTAAACAGCTTGGGATCGACCGCGTGAGAGTGGTGAAGCAGCGAGTGAACCAAGGGAAGGGAGCGGCTGTTAGAAAGGTGTGTGTGGGGAGGGGGGTCAGGTCCCTGGAGCGGATGGGGATCGACTGCGTGAGAGTGGTGGTGAAACAGCGGGTCAAGCAAGGGAACGGAGCGGCTGTTAGAAAGGTGGGTGTGTGACATTCAATTAATGGCATGGGATGGGGAGAAAGAGTTTGAGTCGCTTGGGAAGGGATCGACCATGTGAGGGTGGTGGTGAAGCAGCGAGTGAACCAAGGGAAGGGAGCGGCTGTTAGAAAGGTGTGTATGACAGAGAGGAAGGTGTGTGTGTGTGCTAGTGGATCGATGGGAGGGGTGAGGAGAGGGAGTTTGAGCACCACCTGGGGATCGGCCGCTTGAGAGTGGTGGGGAAGCATTGAATCAAAAGAGGGAAGCTTTTTTTTATCTGTTGAGTCGACTCAAAAGTCATTTTGAGTCGAATTAAAAGTCATCTGTTACGACTCTTGAAGAGTAATTCAAATA